TGGCCTTGGCTGCAGCTCACGGGTCCCCAGACGCTGGACCAAGTGGAGAAGGCCTGTGACACCTGGTGGGACTGAAAGGGCCGGCCTACGCCAGCCGACTCCATCTTGTTCTGTGTCCTTCACCTTGACCACACCTCCTCCCCTTGAGTAACCCCCCCTCGCCTGCCTAACAGGACTCGACCCTTCCCCAGGACCCTTCCCCAGCCAATCGGCTGAGGCCATAGCCATTACCTCACCAACTGCCCCCAGGCCCCAATAAAACCTTTGTCCTTTTGAAACTCGCTCTCTTTCCCTGGTATCTCACCGCTGCGTCGGTGCAGGTAGGGGATTGAGCTCGAGCTAGCTCGAATAAAGGCTCTTTGCTTTTGCATCGGACTCGGCTCCCTAGCGGTCTTTGGGGATCATGAATTCTGGGCATAACAGGACCTTCCGAAATCGGCCCACGGGAAGTCCCCTCGTCCAGCAAACCCTGGATCTGCGGCCCACCCAGGACCCAGGCAGCTGTGGCCCGGGTCCGTCCCCCTTTTCAGGGTGGAGCCCCTGCCGGAGGCCCCAGGGCCCCTCGAAGATCTGGGAGCGCTACACCAAGTCGGTGGGAGAGTGGCCGCTCCCGCCGCCGGAAAGCCAAAACGGACGCAGACCGCTGCGCTCCTGGCTGCAGTGTGCTGGGCGGATGTCTGCACTCCTTCCAGAACAGTCTCTGTGGCCCAGGCGGTCTCCCATCCCCCCTTCCCCTCAGGGGGCTGTGCTACAGCGGAAAGGAGCCCGGCGTCCAGGGGAGGCCCCGGGGCCAGGCCATCCGGCCTCATCCCAGATGTGCTTCGGCGGTGGGAATGGTTTGCACGTGGAGAAGGCGGCGCTACGCGGCCCCGCGGGCCCCGCGAGCGAACCGAGCGAGGGACGCTGGGGCACGAGTGAGATCGAGGGCGCGAAGAGCCCGCCTGCGCCGGGGTCTCCGAAAGCGGGGTACCCCGCCGAGCACCTCTTCCCGTCTCTGGCAACCCCTCGCGGCGTGCCCTTGGGAGAAACACTTACCTTCTCTGGGCCTCGGTTTCCTTGCGTGTAAAACGGGGGCGGTAACACAGCACCGGCTGTCCGGGGTCGCCGTGGGGACGAAGTGCGCTCGTGCGCGTTCCACGGCACGGCGGGGAGTCCGTCGGGGTCCGGGAGCAAGTCGCGGCGGAGGCGCGTTCAGGCGCTGCGGGGCTGGGCTCGGCAGGTGCGGACTCCGGGAGCCGCTCTTTAGAACCGGAGGGGCGGGGTCGGAGCGCGGGCGGACGCCGGTCTCTGCCGCCACCTAGTGGACACGCCCCTCATTGTTAAAGGCCCTCGTGGCTTTAGGCGGCCCGGCCACGTGACTGCAGGAGCGGGGTCCTGGCTCTAGGGGCGCGGGGTGCAGCCGTCCCACCTCACTGACGGGGTCCTGTGAAGGCAGCGGCGCCCCTCTCCGCTGGCCCTGCCACAGCGGGTTCCAGGGCAAGGCAGGGCGAGGCTCCCCGGAGGCGGGGAAGGGAAGTCCCAGCCCTGGTTCCGGTCGCCGTCATCACCCTCCTCCTCGGCCCCCAGGCCCCGAATGAACTTGAGCGTCCCACTCAGCGACTGCCCTCCTCGGGGCCTCTCCCTGCAGACCCGCAGTCCCAGACCCCCCCACCCCGGGGAAAAGCCTGACCTATGCCCACCCCAGAGGCCCTAGGGCGCCGGGCGCTGGCCTCACCACGGGCAGACACTCCTTCACCGGGTTTTGAGGCCAAAGGGTTACTGCTACCTTCAGCAAAGGACACACACATTACCCACGTCAGAGACGGCAGACCCCTGTCCTTGACCTCCCTGGAGCCAGACTCCTCCAGAGGCTTCATCTCAAACGGGCCCTCGGCGCCCAGTGTTAGCGGAGGATCCAGCTAAGTGGGTCCAGCAGCTTCTTGGGAGCCCTGCCATCCGAGTCCTGGGCCTGCCTTCGGCCAGAATCCAGTTTGGGAAGAACACCCGGTCCCCCATCAGGCTCCTCTCGAATTTTTCCCATCCAGCGACCCCTCACTCAGCCCGGGTCAGCATATGATTTTTAACAGAATCCACCAGTAAATGAAGAGGTGAAAGATAACAAATCAATTCTGGGGCGCCCGGGGGGCTCAGGCAGTTGAGCACTGGCTCTTGATTTCGGCTCAGGTCACAATCCCAGTGTCATGGGATCGAGCCCGGCATCGGGCTCTGTGCTGAGCATACAGCCTGCTTGGGATTCCCTCTCTCTCTCTCTCAAACTAAAAACAATCCCTATTAAAAAAAAATCGTTTTGGGGGCCCCTGGCTCAGTCAGTTGAGCGTCCGACTTCAGCTCAGGTCATGATCTCACTGTTCGTGGGTTCCAGCCCCGCATCGGGCTCTGTGCTGACAGCTCGGAACCTGGAGCCTGCTTCGGATTCTGCGTCTCCCTCTCTCTCTGCCCCTCCCTCACTTGCACTCGGTCTCTCTCTCTCTCAAAAATAAACAAACATTAAAAAAAAAATTTTTTTAACATTTTCACAGGAGGGAGTGACTTTTAGTAAGTGCAGAGAACACAAAAACTCCTTAGTAATCAGAGGCATACAAATTAAATTACTGTTTTCTCTCTATTGAACTCTGGCTGGCATGTAGGTCATCAGTTGAGTATTTTTTGAACAAATAAATGCATTGATGAATACAGCTACCAAATCGTTCAGCGTCCGGCTGAGAGAGGATCCGACTCGCCACCCTGGTGCATGGGGCCCACCTCTGGCGCGGATGGCCGTGGCCACGCCGGGGTGGGAACGGGGTAGGGTCACTCGTGCGAGCACGGTGGGCTTGGGTGGAAGCAGACGGTCCCCGAAGGGGATGCGGACAGGGAGACAAAGCTGGGCACCACGGTCTGGCCCGACTTGCTCCACGCCGGCAGTCTGTAAAGTCGGCTTAAGGCACGGCAGAAGCATGGGACGTCGCGCAGCCGCTAAATGTCAAATACGGAGTCCGTGCGCCACCACGGAAACTTGATTACAGTATGACGCCAAGTGGGAAAGGCTGAAAACAAAATTCTCTTCCCGCCGTGACGACGGCTGTGTGAACACAAAGTGCACAGATAATGTTCTGGAAGGAAGCGTGGTCGAATGAAAATAGCTTCAAGAGCTGGGTGGCGTGTGGGTAGCTGAGTTCTTCCTTTTATAGGGATCTTTTAACGTCGCCGTCATATTATCTCAGTAAAAACAAGGATTTCAGTTCTTGGTCTGAGAGCAAGAACCCAGGAAGTCAGGGAAAATATGACCTTTTAAAACAGAGGACGTGCTGACGGAGGTCTGCTGGACCCCGTGCTGGTGTGGCGTGGCCTCACTCTTCACCTTGATCCCCACTCTCCGATTCTGCCTTTAACGCTGTCAACTTTTGTCAGCTTTTTCGCATTTACTTAATTTTTTAAATACAGTGTTAAAACAGTATTTGCATTGGGTGCTGCGCCTTGTGATATCTGTACCTCATGTGCTTGCAACACGCCCCCCCCCCCCTTGCCCGCTGGTGCCCTAGTCCCGCCTTGGCCAGAGCAGCTTCCCTGTGGCCCTTCCTCCTGCGGACACGGGAGGCAACGTGATTTTCAGAGTGGAGCAGAAAGGGATGCCCCAGCCTGACCCTCCCTCTCTGAGAGGAGCCAACAGCCCAAGGTCCACGGCTAATTTGAGAAACTCTCCGGAGACCTGACAAGTGGCCTCCCAGGAGCAGTGGTGACCCCTCCCGCTGCCACCGTGCGAGGAGAGCCCTGGTCCAGGGCACGGGTAAACCCACAGCGGGGCAGAGCCCGCCTGTCAAGCCAGACCGCATGGCCCTGCCCCGGCCCCTGGCCTCCCTGCTCAGCCATAGGAAAGCTGGGGGACAGCCGGCCCCTGGGTCCCAACTCCAACGGATAAAACAATGCTCAGACAAGGATGGAGGAAACTCAGAATTCACCTAAAATAGATGCTGTAGGCCAAGGCCTGGGAAAAGCTGTCTGCTGAGCATGAACAGGAGGGGAAAAACAACGACGTGGCAGCCAAACATTTTGCAATAAAAAACCAACAGAAAAATATACTTACAAATACAGATAAATATTCTATTCGGGGGGGGGGTAAGAATCCAAGGTGGGGATTCTCCATTTGGACTTTCTGAGTTCATAAAATTTAAAAAACCTTGAATTTTAATAAAACCAACTCACTGAGATTAAAACCAGAATGATTTTAAGAAAAAAATCTCATTTCAGAACTAAGAAAAAAACTGGGTGCCCAAAACCCCAACACAAAGGTAAATGTTTCCAAAATGGTAAGAAAAAAAAATCCCTGAATCTGCAACTGAAAATAACACACTATGTTCTATGAGAATTAAAGAAAGAAAGAAAGAAAGAAAGAAAGAAAGAAAGAAAGAAAGAAAAAGAAGAAGAAGGAAGGAAGGAAGGAAGGAAGGAAGGAAGGAAGGAAAATCCATAATAAGACTTCTTAGCAAAATTACTGAACATTAGCAATGAGAAAGGAACTCCAGGAATCTGATAGAAAAAAATCATTATTTTTTTTTTTAATTTTTTTTTTTCAACGTTTTTATTTATTTTTGGGACAGAGAGAGACAGAGCATGAACGGGGGAGGGGCAGAGAGAGAGGGAGACACAGAATCAGAAACAGGCTCCAGGCTCCGAGCCATCAGCCCAGAGCCTGACGCGGGGCTCGAACTCACGGACCGCGAGATCGTGACCTGGCTGAAGTCGGACGCTTAACCGACTGCGCCACCCAGGCGCCCCGAAAAAAATCATTATTAAGGAGAAAGACAGTTGGCCTTGGACCACTACAAGTAAGACACTGATGAGAATCAGGGAGAGAGGAGAAAGTCTGTGAATTCCCCGCCTTGGTTATGGGTTAACGCATGCTGGTGAAGTTGGTTTAATTAAAAAAACAGGGGCGCCTGGGTGGCTCAGTCGGTTACGCAACTCGATCTCGGCTCAGGGCACGATCTCGAGGTTCGTGTGTTCAAGCCCCGAGGCGGGCTCTGCGATGGCAGCACGGAGCCTGCTTTGAATCTCTCCCTCAAAACAAAACCATAAAAATAAGAAAGAGGGTTAACACTGTATATAAAGGAAACCACCAGAAGCACTAAAAACAGCGTGACCATCAAAAACCAGAGGGCATGAGGACCAAGGGGGCAAGGACATCTCCCTAATGACGTGCTGGTGTTTCGCAGCTGATCGTTAAAGCTACCACGCGAATGTACTGGATCAGGACATTAAAAGCAACGTGAACGAGCACAGGTAAACTTGCGTCCGTAGGTGGGTGTCTGTGTATACACTCCCCCCACCTCCCTTAAACACACTTCTCTTGCTCGTGAATCTGCAAGCTGGCGGGCCAGGTGGTGACAGCCGTCTCCAGGAGGCCTTGGAGGCTGCGGCCGGAAGCATTTGAAGGCGCCCAAGCTCACACACGTGCACGTGGGCTGGACACAGCGGGGGCTGGGCAGGCGCGGACCCCACCCGCCACCGGCATCTCTGTCTCCACGGGGCCTCTCCAGCGTGGTGGCCTCGGGATAGCCGACAAAGCTCTTGCATCTAGTGAACCGGCCAAGTGCAACGCCCGGTACCAGCGAGGATCTGAGATCTACTGTTGGCAAAGGGACAAGGTAACGGAACCACCTGGGACAGCAGGTCGGCAGTATGTGCCAAGATGCCACCTTTCGTTTGTTCTGGTGAGTCCACTGCTGGGAACCTGCCCTTGAGATATAAACAAAAGTTTACCAAAATGTTTGGGCAGCCGTATGTAGGAACGAAATGCCAAAAACTGCAAAGTCAAGGGTCTACCAGTAAGCACGGCACGGGTCAGCTGTGGGGCTGAGGTCACCCCCACCCTGCTAATCTGGGCCACCCGCAGCCGTGGCCCTCGACCAAAACACCCTCCCAGCTGGCCCCGCACACCCACTGGGGGCCCCTCGCCATCAGTTTTTCAGCACAGCCTGGTCCAAACTGGATCGTGTCCCACACTCAGCCTACCACAGCTTAAAACCCCTCAGGGCACCCCAAATTCCCGCAAGACCCCACGCACCTCCTTCCCTCTTCAGGCGGGTGCTGCACTGGGCCCCCAGCCCCCCTGTTCCTTCTAACCACAGGGCCCTGACACAGACCGTTCCTCTGCTCCTGCCCCAGAGATGGCCTCACCGACATCCCAAGGCTCTCCTCACCTCCACCCCACCTCGAGGCCTGTGTACGTCTTCCAACAGTTGCCACTTTGTGCATGATGCGTATTTGTCTTCTCCCACCAGGTCCCGAAGTTTCAGGACGCCTGGGCCCACGTCCGGGCCGTCCCTGGCTCCCGGAAATGCCTTGCATGTAAGAGACGCTCCGAGCACTGGGGGACGTGGCTGCACCCTGCGCAGGAAGCGGTGGGATCAGGACTTCCCCACGCGGAAGGCTGCTAACTGGAAACACGAGGCCCGGGACCGTGTGAAGGGCGCCATGCCCGTCCCATCAGGACACCTGCTCCATCCTGACTAGAGAGGACAGACAGCCGACATGCTCAAGGGACACGCTGAGAGTGCCAAGGGACAGCACTTGCCCCACCGTGGCTGCGTGCAAGGGTGTAGACGGCCCTCCCCAGGACAGGGCAGCGGCTAAGCTCCAGCCACACAGGAGGGGGTGCACTTCGTGCACGGGGTGAGGCCGCAACAAACACACGGCTGCAGGCCGGGAAGTGAATTTTTTTTTTTTT